CTTTCAGTACACAGCTGAAAGCAGAGCCAAGAAGGGGAGGAATGAAGACACAAATCAACAAACACACACAATCAAAAGAGAAATAAGTCTTGAGATGGTGAATTGAAAGACTTCAATCAAAGAAAGAAATGCCCTTCTTAAACAGGGACTTTGATTATCAATGAATTAAATTTAAGACCTTCAAGTCTTTGGATTAATAAGAACCAGGCTGAAATAGGACAATAACTTCAAAAATAGCACAATCTAGGCGCACTCAGGCACCTTCCAAATGAGCAAATGAGCTTACAACTCAACAAGAAATTAATTAAAAGATGAATAAGGGTCTTATTATTATAAAATTCCAACTCTCATTAGTTGTTACCTGAATGATAATAATAAAGGATAAAAGCTTATTCTAAAAATCTAGTAATTATTTTTTCTAACTAAAAGGCTCCCAAAGGGAAAGAAAAGAGACCCTTGACTATATCAAAATTGAAACACACACAAAAAAAGAAAGTAAGACAAAAACAACCCTCAAACTCGAAATCCACCTTCAAACAACTTTTTCACACACAATTCATTGAACAACCCCCAAATTAAAATTGATAAGCATCTTCAACTCACCCACATGTATCATTCACAAATTTTCAAGCACACATTTATCATCAAAACTGAGCTGTTTACCACAAAAACTGAAAAATCCGCCAGTTTACCCTTAAAACCTGAAAAAAGATAAGAAATAGGGACTGTATCAAAAATCTGAATAGACAGAAAAAAAGGTCTGCTTCCGCTCTACAACTTTGCTCAGCCAAGCTAAACTCTAACTCTATTGGTTGTACCCTTAAAATGAAATTCGATTTTATGTGAAAATACTCGAAATTGAATTTACCCAGTTTACCACCTGATATTACCACTGATAATGCTGTATATGGTTTATAATTGATTTTTCATGCTCAGATGCGCCCATATGATGCCTTCCACATGATTTACCCTCTAAAAAACTGATGTAGTACATTTGAAATAAAGTCTCATGATTGAAAATGGAGCCTTTTATGGAATTTTGAAAGC